GCGGTTAATTTTTTTAAAAAAGGGAACATTTTTTTATAAATCACGTGAAGTGCTTCTGAAAGAACGTTGTCAGGATTTCCTGAATTTTAAAATTTCTCTCGACGTCCTGAGGTTGCGTTAGATCGCGTCAACTGGCCTTAAATCGCCTACTAACCAGATAGCACACACTGTGAAATACTTGTGTTACCTTGCGCCGACTGTTTTGGTCTGTTTGCAACAAATTCGCTTTACGCCTAAAAGTGCAAATAAACAGAAACGCCAGCAGCCGTGCAGAGGAAAAATTTGTTTACGCGTTTGTGCGCTTTTTTTTCAATTCAGACAAGCAAAATAGCGTCAACGGGTGCCGAAACTGCGGGAGAAACTTTTACCGACTATTTCCGCTCTAAGACATTCCCGTAATCGGCGTTAACTGTTTTGTGGCTGATGCATGCACTTGGGTAAATCGACAAAACCATGAGAAGAGGGTGTTGGCAGCTTGTCTTCTGGTCGCGATTCACCTGTTTGGTCAACTGGGGCGTAGAGTGGCTGGTGTGTGCTTCCAGAGGCGTTCCCAAATTCGCGTTTGTCTGAATCCCTCAATCTCTACCTCATTCCGCAAACGCGATAAGTGTTTTGTAGGCCACGACGAGACGCTAAGACTCAATTGTGCGAAGCTCTCTGCTTTTGAAAACTATGAAATCCTCCACCAACTGTGGGGAAATGGTCAAATGCCACCTGGATGTTGAGAATTCACGCCAGTTCAACAAAGTAGGCATTCAGGATTTTGTGAAACGTTACAGGGGAAAAGAAATGATGGATTGGCGAAATGAGCGAGAGTGGCGCTGTGCCTCAAATTTGAAGACATTCAGCATGGAACGTGGTGGCGAAATGCCATCTGGACACGTCTCGGGCTGCAAGCAGACGGTCGGTGTCGGCCAACCGTAAATCACATCGATTTCAAAAAAAAGTAATAGACGCACGATGTTGTGTACATGTGGCCGCGTGGGTGTATTTGTTTACTGAACGTGTAAACAGTTATATCCATGGTGAACCAATGCGCACACCACGGTTTGATCTTGCATCTGAGCTCATCAAAAATTCGGTATCATACACATGCAGAGGTGTGACCGCACGTGTTCAAAACCCCACTGATTTCCCCATGGACACCGTCGTCATCATCATCTGCTTTCGGCATTGTTTCCTGTCCGGCAGACACCACTGTCATTTTACGTCTAAAAATGTGTCGTTTTCTAAGTTGTCAACTTGGACGAACTCGACGAGTAAAGGCCTCATTGCGAATGAAAAATTTTCATCAATTTGATTGGGTGGTAAATTAACCTACATGATTGGAGAGTCTGATTTGCAGATTACTATCAAATACGTGGTTATGTCAGTGATTTACGTGTCACATTAAAGACAGTTGAAATCGAATTAAAGGTTACGGCATAAGTAATTGCAACCTTAGTCCAAGGTCATCTAAACAAGAATTACTATACAGGTACATCGGAAATCCTGACAACGTTCTTTCAGAAGCACTTCACGTGATTTATAAAAAAATGTTCCCTTTTTTAAAAAAATTAACCGCTGAAATGGGCGTCACAAAGATTGGGCCGAAACACAAAGGCACACATAATTGCAACCTTAGTCCAAGGTCATCTAAACAAGAATTACTATACAGGTACATCGCATCGAGTGGTGAATCCAATCGTTTTAAAGCATTTACCCAATCCTCGGCTCATTTGATATTGAGCCAAAGAGTGGCCAATCAGATGCAGCCAGACACGTATCGTTTGTGGTCAACTCAAATGAAAGTGCATATGGGGCTGTACTAGGAGCGCTAGCGAAGTGATGTGGTGTGTTCGACAGTGGCTAGGATGAGCTAGACGACAGAACGGCATGTTTGCTGAGCCGTCCAGTCATTGGCCTGAAGCCAACGCACCACGAGGTTGTTCGACACCAGACGGACATTATTCGCAAAATGTGGGTGCTGACTATGTGTGTTGTGGTCGCAATTCACCTGCTTGGCCAAGTAGGGCGTAGAGTGGCTGGCATGTGCTTCCAAAGGCGTCCTCAATTTCGCGTTTTTCTGGACCTCTGATCGACAGCGACCTCATTCCACAAACGAGATAAGTGTTTTGTAAGCCACGATGACAGCGACAGCATCAACTGGCCCACACTCACACATTATTCCACTAAACGCACTGTCTTACGCGTGTGCTTTGCCACTTTGTCGGACGTTGCGGCAAGTGTGGATTTGGTGTGGCTTCGTGAATTGTCAAGTAAACCGCAGTTTGAACTCGTGGATGCGCGAATGGTGTTTCATGAAAGCGTCATCTTCGTCTGCAGGGGGGTGTGGTTGAGGTCACATCGACTCATTGGAAGTAAATGTTTTGACGGACACCTCATGAGCTCTTCATGGAGGTGATATGTACATTTGAGAACAGTGGGTGGTGCGTTGAATGGCATCGTGATTTCGTGGGACTGTTCACTGGTGTTACCATCGTGGTGTTCAGGCGCTGAGTGATCCAGAGACAAGTAGTTTGATGTGGCGCCTTCAGGAGGTAAGGTCGCTTGAAGTAGACGCATTTCATGTGGCCTGACGAGGTGACGCGGACGTTGGGAGTAGCAGAAAACGGCGTCTTCTAGTCCATGTCACCAGGGAATCGTGGCGTGTGACGTAACCTGAAGACTGCAAAGTCAAATGCAACACGCGCAAACCATGCGCAGCACAGGCCGTGGTGGACAATTTGCTATAATTCCAGGCACACTCTGGCTCTGTCAACTGTCGGATTTCGCTCAAGAACGTGCCTCTTTCTTGCTCTAATCTGACTCAAATCGGTTGTTGCATTTGATTGGGGAAGTGCCACAGCGATTTCACAATGCAGCCATAAACGACGCACTATTGCACCACTTTCTCAATCTAAACACATTCACATTGGCATACTTGGGTGAAATGTCTTAGGTCATTTGAAATGCTGAGGCGCGGAATTGTGAAATGGCGTGTTTGCACGATGGTGTAAAAAGAAGTGTCTAGTGACGGAGTGTTGTCGTCTTGGCGTTACCGTCAAACGCCACTCTCGTGCTGCAGGCAGAATGGCACGTGCGGTATCCCCATCACATCAAGCCGTAACGCACCCGCAAGCCTGTTTATTAGAGTTAATTGAATTTGCGCCAGTGTAGACAACCAGCCGACATCGTGGCAGAATGGAGCGCAATCTGAGGAGCTATTTCTGGTTTAAGGCGATCTCGACTGTGCGATAGCACCTGGCACTCGTACAATTTGCCAGCGAACGCGGAATTCTGCCACTGCCACAAGGGAGATTTGTGAAAAAAGGCATATTTGATAAAGTGAAAACGGCCAAGATTTGTGGTGTGTTTGGCTCTTCTCAAAAACTTGTCCAATGTTGAACAAGATATCACTGATCGGCCGACCAATCACTGCGCTGTGTGATTGTGCAGTGCGTGGTTCACTCAACAGCAGCCAATCATAGAACAGTAATGTTGAAACTTTGTGCCTGCGTTTTATCACGATTGTGGCTGACATTTTCGAAATTAATTATTACTTTAGAACAATTTTTTTAAAAATTCTGTGTCGATTTAATTGTGGCACATTCTTTTAGCGGCGATTGTTTTTATTGTACTAGCGTTTTATAAATTCCTAGTTTTAACCTTCTGGATATTCCCTGTCGATACGTTATTGAATTGGTTTTTTGTGAAAATTTGCACGATTAGTCCTAATCCGCATTCTTTCTGATATTTAATCATGGTTTATTGCATGTGTAATTTAAATAGGGGGTGAAGTGAGTCACTAGTTTAGCTTTTTTACCAGGTAAAGTCTCCTTTCAAACATCAGTCAATAAAGGGTGATTCATTTCGGTTTTTCAAAATTAAACGAACAGCACAAACAATTTACAAACTTTAAACAGCATTAGCGCAGCTTAAATAGTCGAAAAATTGAAGGCGGCGCTTCAAAAGTAACTAAAGTAGAGTTAACGGCTTCCCTACTGATCTGGTGGCCGTCACTTTGTCACCGATCTCCCCATTACAATCAGGTTAAATCGTAATAATTTGCGTTTAGGCAACCACCAATCAGACTAACGCTCCCTCAGGGTAAGCACCAATAAGATTTGGCGTCCTATTCGCCGGATATGATGGGTTGAATTAGAAATCAATACACACGTGGGATCCATCTAACTGAATGTGTCTGATTATTTTACATCTTGGCGAGTGCTATTTATCAGATTTCTGCATACTAACTGGGTCAACACTCTCTAGAATGTCTAGATTTTGTATTTCTTATTTGAAACTATCAACCATTAAAAAATCTTTAATCTCAAGATGCACCGGTAATTATAAAAGTTCAGATCAAATAACTTTCCACGCATTGCTGCTTCAAGCTTTCTGCTGTCTTCCGGGAATAAATTTTGCCCTAATGCCCTACCTCATCACATCTGCATAACTGTCAGTTTCAAGATCAGTGTAATTTGGGCGTTTTTTTAATTACCCACAACCCCAACCCGCTTGCCCAATTTTCTACTAATCTGCCTTAACAGACGTGATTAAAAACAAGCAAGTTGAATGGTTTTGCACACGTGGGAAAACCAACAATACCACACCTACGGAATGATCATGGTGAAGAGGGGCTTTGAAACTGTAAACGGTTGTGTAGATGGCGTTAACCGCCCACCCACGCCTGTTTGAACTCGAGTTCTGCTTTCAAAACAGGCACTTTTGCCTCATCATGTGCAGTTTTTGCTCAACTCAGTCGAAACAAACAGAAAACAGACAAAATCTGCGTTGTTTTTTACAATCCGCCCGCGTAGAGCGACGCAAGTGATTCGGGCCTAAGAATCCGCCTTGACCTTGACTCTGCGGCCTTGGTTGAGTGCATTAAAACAAACGGTTCAAGGACACCTTTGGGGTGTTTACTTGGCAACCCCAGCTAGTGGCAGTTTTTTATGACAGAGAAGGCACTTTTGCTGCAAATTATAGGAAGAGCATGCAAACACAGTAATTTAATTGGCGTGCAAGGCCCTTAAGGTCAAATTGCATAACTTTTTAATGATTTAGACACCATGCGAATGAGGTGAAGTCAAGATTGACATTAGTACAAACAAAAGATTGTCATTAACTCAAAGTCTCACTTAGGCAGCCATATCTTCTCCTGATTGGGGTGTGCAAATTTTTGAAAAATCGATCCAGTCAAAACATTTGGGTGCCTTCGATTGGCAAAGATCAACAACAACCCTAAAATTGATGACAAAACAGATCCACTCTACTCGGCACATCTACAGCATTCTAAATGGATGGATGAACGACCGTTTGTCAAAATCTTGCCCATGGCTGTGTGCCGTAGTTCCGCAGTTACTTATTGAAGACAAAATGGAGACTAAGGTGGCGAGAAATGTCAACTTCAGTCTGCTGTTATGTTGAAGTTTCTGAAATGTTTGTGGTTGGGAGGATGTCGGAAGCGTCGGCCTGTAGACGTTATGGTGCTGTGCAGTTTCGTCGACACCAGTGCCCGCTAATTACCGACAAACTAGCAGTTTGTTAACCCAGTGGAAGTTGTAGACGATAACATTTACCAGTTTTGTGTTGAGTGACTGTCTCGTTAGGCATCAGTTGCTGTGCGCTTTATGTTTGGAATGTAAAATATTGTCCTAGGATTGTTAACTATGGAAACGCAAAACTACACAAACTACGAATCTCTACCAACGGGACACCATAAAAGGTCTCGTTTTCCACTTTGAAGCAATGAGTTCTCGCGACGTTTCTCCACGACACGGTCAATTAAAATCTGAATTGCATGATGACTGAAGATGACCACCACCGTAAAGAATTTCCCCACGGCTTTCGCAGGAAATGATTTTGCTGAACCCCCATGTAACAATCACCACAGATTGCGTCAAAGATCGTGGATTTGTTCTCAACTTGTGTGCAGCTAT